AACAAACAAACAAACAAACAAACAAACAAACAAACAAACAAACAAACAAACAAACAAACAAACAAACAAACAAACAAACAAACAAACAAACAAACAAAAAGCTACTTTAAAACAGAGACATTCAGGGGCACTTCAAGCAGTTTAAAGAGCTGTATCTCAACCACTGAACATCAACTCATGCAGCATACAAATCTTTAATCTTTCCTTTAATTTCTCCATCTCACTTTTAGCCCTGAAGATAAATAGTCAATATTTCATTCTATTTTTATTTTCAGTACAGACTCCCAAACTCAAGGTAATATACACAGCTAAGAAGTACTGGAAAGGTTAGAAAAGTACATAATTAGAAAACATTAATAACACTATTATTGCGTCAGAATTTCCAGGGATCCATATTGTTTAGATTGATGAATTTCTGACATTCGGACCTGGAAATATTATTATACGTTGTGCTCTCAGAATACCAATTTCTACATACCAGTTACTTATTGTTGTGCTTTTAATTTAATATAGACATATGTATTTTATAGAGTTGGGTGTTTTGAAACGTGTTGATTGTTGTGCTGAGACGTAACTTTTACGTTAAAGGCAGTTATTCTCCATTTCTGCCTTGTGTTGCAGTTTTTACAGTTTGACTACCATCTGGTGAGTAGCTTTTGAGTGTTTGCATATAATCTCATGTCTTACATGCAAACTATGGGTAACAAACTATGGGTAACAAACTATGGGTAACAAACTATGGGTAATCTGCTAGCAACCAAAGCCATCACAAGGAGGCTTTTGGTTCAGCATCCTCTTCGTGACCCATTTTATCCATTCACACCGATTCACACAAGCACTTTTTCTATGTAAATGCTTTCTATCTGTCACACATTCATACTCCGATGGATGCATCAGAGAGCAACTTGCCCAAGGATATTTGACATATTGACTGGAGCAGATGGAGATCCAACTACCAACCTTTCAATTTGTAGCCGACATCCAAATTTTTCCCTTGCAACTGTTGGTTGCATCTTGAGCTACATAAGCATGACGTCACTCAGCACGTAGCCAGTATTGGTATCTTCATCACGCCAACTCAGATGACATGAGTTGTTGTATTACATAGAAGACATATAGCACATACAGTACATCTTAGTGGTTCAGAAAAGCCTTGTCAACTGTTTTGTCACTGAGGATGGAGTGTGAGCATCAGCTATGCACAAACTTGAGCCCCATAATGCTGATTTTGCTATAGATTATGCAGAGCTCCTTTCAGTAATCCTTACAAGCGAATTAGTAAATTGAGAGCACTTATTTGTGGTGTGCTTTTCAGATCTCCTGGCCTTAACAGAAAGTTGGTTTTGTGGCTCCAGAGGCTTCTGATAAATCACTGAAAGTAACCAATTCTGAATGTTTAGTAGACCCAGAATTAAATTAAAATCTGTTCACATTAGCTGCAACTGTCATCGACAAAATTCCACAAATCCACACAGCACTTTGTTTACCTTTGCAATATTCAAGTGAAAAAACAAAAAAACAAAAAGAAGAAAATAATGCACCTCGACTTTGCATGAAGTCAGTGAGAACGCATGCCAGCATGCTACTGTATGCAAAGGAATCAGAAGAAGGTTGACTCTACAAGAGGAAGAGCACTTAAATTTGTTCATTACACTTTAACCCTTCACCCAGTGTGTGCACCGAGCATCAGCCAATCAGATCACAGTCCAGTGTCTTGCCAGTGGAAACAGCTCCATGTTTCCACTGGCAACATCAGGAACTGGATTTCTTATATGAAACCGGAATAAAATGAACTTCTCCTGAAAGGAAAACTCATTTTACCTGCAGTTACAAACAATAATAATAAAAACAATAGTTTGACATTTAGGTGGCTTTAATTCGTGACATGTGACACCCAGTCATTCTAACCACATGGTGGCTATGATCAGCACAGCAACACAAACCCATTTATTTCAGCCACAGTGGACCAAAATAAGCCGATGCAATAAAGCCTGCAATTCCTGTAGCTGGAGGGCTTCTTTTAAAAGGACCCTATCTGCTTTTTCTTGTTTTCTGTCCTGCATTCACTGCTGCAGTCTCTGATGTTATTAAATGTAAAAGTAATCCCAGTGAACAAAAAGTGCCAGACTGCTCTGTGCTGCTCATGAGCACTGGGTGCTGCCCCTCTGCAGGCTTCCAGAAAGTGCCTAATCAGATGAACGTGGGCTTATGCCCAGGCCTGAAAGAGACAGGAGCTTTTTTGAGACAACAGATGAGTTGAGGGGTTGCTGGAGTGCTGAAAATGAGAACAATAGAGGCTGCTGAAATGTGTTACCTCACACATTTCTTGCCCTTAATGAGCAAGAGAAGCTCCGAAATAAGCAGTCCAGTTTTGGCCACCTCCACCTCAAGTTAGCTTAATCAAGCTGACACCAAGAAGGAAGTTCCTGTATAGAATTAATCTCTTCTTAACAATCCTGTTCAGATGGCACTATGAGGTCTCACAGACCCAGTTGGACCTTTGCAAGGTGAGTTGCTCCACTCTCTCCATTCACACCTGGCAGATGTTGTAGTAGACTGTGTGTGCATTCATCTGGCTCACCGAGTCACCCGTCAAATCGAACGTGCAGTCTTTGTGTGTGTGCATCTCCATCATTGGCACATCGACCGTGTTGGAGTTTTTGTGCGGAGTCTGCGTCCCATAGGACGGCGCAGGCTGCAGATGAAGTGCAAAAACATGTTAGCCTCTTACTGCAGCAAGATCAGCATGCTTAATCAGCAAACTAGCTACGACCAGTTAACCCCTGCTTTGAGTTTCATTGCTAATCTAGATTCACTAACTTCAACTTCATTCAGAACACAGAAAAGAACATCTGCCTTCTCACAAAGAGGTGTTTGAAGCAACAAAACAACTCAAGAAATGTTGATCAGTGCTGGTAAGTTGACAGAAACAGGTTCTGGTGTGCTATTAACAGACTGTTCTTCCTGGCAACATGGAGCACTGAGTTCAGTAGATATGGGAGGAGCTAGTCTGAGGCTCAGGATGACAGTAGGAGCTTTAATCCTTTGTAGTTGTTGGTCCAATCTGAACACACCTACTGCTGTAATCGTATTATGTCCATAGACATGAATGAAGAAACAGGTCACAGGCTCAGGTTTATAGTCATCAGGTACATACAGAGATATGTGGTCGGTAAAGTTGGTCATATAAAGACAGTCATATAAATGGACAGTGTTGGGGAGTAACGGAATACATGTACCGCCGTTACGT